ATGGACTCAAGCTAGGGGTGAATAAATGGAACAGAAAACTTAATGAAATTCTCTTAAGCAAAGGATTTGAACGAAGTGAAAGTGACCCTTGTTTATATACAAGACAGGATAAAGAAGGGTTTGAATACATCACTGTACATGTGGATGATATGGTCGTTGCAGCAAGCACAGAGGATTCACTTGAAAGTTTTGAAAGCGAAATTGGTAAACATTTCTCAGTGAAAAATTTGGGAAATCTTCATTACTATTTAGGCATGCGTTTTCAATGTGACGATGAGGGAATCTTCTACCTAGACCAATCAAGCTACATTTTGAGAAAGCTAAAACAGTATCACATGAACGATTGTAAAACATCTACGTTTCCTATTGATCCAGGATATTATAAGCAAAGGAAAGATGCAAAAGCTTACAGTAAAGTTGAGGAATATAAAAGTGTAATAGGATTGTTACTGTACCTAGCAGTCAATACTAGACCAGACATAGCAGCTGCTGTTTCCATCTTAGCCCGAAGAGTGTCAAAACCAACGTAAGCCGATTGGATCGAAGTCAACAGGCACTTCAGATATTTAACCAAAAATCTCAAACTGAGTCTGGGAAATATAAACGAGAAGGAAAACGATTTGTTGTTATGTTATGTAGATGCAGATTGGGGAAATGACCCTACCGATAGGAAATCCAACTCCGGATATTTCTTAAAATATCAAGGCAGTGTGTTTACATGGAACTGCAGAAAACAACTGTGTGTAACTGTCGTCAACCAAAGCAGAATTTATAGCGCTTGCCGAGGCAGCAAAGGAGACTGTTTGGCTCAAAAGACTTTTGCAAGATTTTCATGAAACGGACACCATTTGCATTTTTTATTAGGATAACCAAAGTTGTATCAAGATGTTAAACAATGAACAAGACAGTGGAAGAACCAAACATATAGACACTAAATACCATTCTGTTAAGGATCTTATTAAAAGTAAAAATTACCAACTTCGATATCTGCACACCGATGAAATGACTGCTGACATTTTAACAAAGCCATTAGGACCAAAGAAACTAAAAGCTTTTAGGCAAAACCTTGGATTATGTTAAAAGTGTAATTTCATATTATATGTTTATTTATTGTTTTTATGCATCTTAAGGTAAGTTATTTTTGCTTTACTAAAGAATAATCATTGAGGAGGGGTTTGTATATTTTATGCCTCCGAATGTCAGGAGATGCAATGATTAATGTGATTTCCTTTTCTTTATTAGCTTGTGTTCACCTCTCAGAGAATTAAATGAAGCCATCTATGTTTTTGAGCAGTCTGCCAACTTTAAGCTCTGAACTTCAGTTATAGAGTTGTAGTAATGTTGATTGCTGCTGTATTGTGATTGATTGCTTTTCCATTCTCCTAATAAATGCTGATATCCCTGCGATGAAGTTATAATTCAGTTTATGTTACATATAACATAAAGTACATAGCTTTCCTGTTTATCTTGAAAGTCCCCTGTGTTAAAGACATGGCTTGCAGTTGCATTTCTTAATTAAAATCAGTGTTAGAATTGTATTTATAATTATACTCATCAAGATAAATTTTCATATGAAAACAACATTTAAAAGTTATGCACAACTCTAAATGATAGTCATTTATTTGTAATTACATCTAACAACAAGCACGAATAAATAGCTTTTATAAACCTTGTGTCAGTTTGTTTCCATTTGTGATCAGTATGAAATGCATTATTGTGCATCCAGCTAGTGATTGATTCCTGAAGTATCAATTATATATATATATATATATATATATATATATGTAAATACACAGTAATTCTTTTGAAAACAAAACACAAAAATGCCTAGTTATTTTCGCACATTAAGCTGCAGAAAAATTTTTGAAGAGGGGTTTTGCTCATTTGAAATGTTTTGGTTTTAACATTTTAAAATTTATTGTTGCATTTCTATGATTATTTCAGATTTATTAATTATGAATTTCAATTTCTGGTCTTTGTGAAATATTAGTTCTAAATTTCTTACTTTATATATATATATATATATATATGATATAATAAATGCAAGGAAAAGCCAGAACACTGTTGATCCATAGTAGCTATTAGATCCATATTGAAGAGAAAGAATTCTGATTGCGTAGTATGCTAATATGATGAGTTCGTAATATCTGAAAAACTTGGCAGTCAAGGCGATTTTAATTCCATTTTTATTTGCAACTGTCGTTTGTGGCTGCAGTTCGCTTCGCACACTAGCCGTGCCTATTGAAGAACATTTTACATTTTTGATATTATTGCAATAGGAACAAGCATAGCGAAATTACGTCCAAGCAGAGCAAAGAGAGAAGCTGAAGTGCGTAGTTATGGAAGATGGAAGGAGAGGAAGAGAAAGGTTTTGGTTTGAATTAAAAGTTTCATTTCACAATTATTACGTCATCAGCATGCATTGCGCAGGCCATAAAATGATCTAGAAATGACACAATCCGGGAAGTTATTACTATTTTTAAAACAGAGAGAGAATTAATGTTTGGTTTAAGTTGTAATTTTTATTTACATATTTTGTATCGTACACACACACATATATATATATATTCCGAGTTTTCCGACCCCCTTCGATAATTGGAGACGAGTTGCAGCTAACGGACAATCTTTTCGTATTGGCTGATGCCCACAGAACTTCGCTCCCCCCTACATACGTCACACGACTGAAGTACACAGAAGGGAATTACAACTACTTTTCAACATAGTTTTAAGAGGGAGAGCTCTGCATCGCCACAGGTCAGTTTTTTATGTTTCTTTTGTTACAACTTTTTCTTGGTCTTAGCAAGACCCACTTTGTTAGTTTTCATCTTAATTTTCTTTTATTTTAATTACAGATTTTCATTACAGATTTCTAAAATATATAAAATTATAAATCTTTAAGCTTGCAGGCCCAGCCCGTATGTTTTTGTATATTTAGGACTAATAGCAGACCGCTATTTATTTTGGTTTTTATTTTTATTTTATTTTTATTTTTATTTTAGTCTAGATTTTAGATGTATCGGAATAGTTTTTACATATTTTAACACCTTAATGTGTCATTTTGTGCGGACGCGTCGGGAAATTGGAACAGAGAATTGAGACTATTAAAATTTTCCAAGACACTTTGTCTAAATTAAAAAAATTTTGTAGCGAAAAAGTTTCAATTGTCTGTTTTGGCGAAACACGTAATGGGGTTAGCTTGATTCGATGTTCAAACCAAAAAAATTTCCCTTGAAAAGCCAGTTTGGAAGTCGAGTTCGGCTAATTTAATTGAAATGTCCAATCGATTTCGCTCGGCTGTCCACTGTACGTTCATTAGAGAAAATATCCATTCAATATTAGCGTTATGAGGTGGAATTGAAAACATATACTGACAGATTTTCAAAATTTTGGAATATTCCTCAGCGTACTACATTTAAAATACTACATTCTCACTATATTTAAAGAAATCCACCCATTTTTCGTAACAAAGCGTATTCTCATTCTTCCATTCTGCAGATTTTTCAATCAATATTTTCTTTACGTTACTCATTTGATTAAAGATTAGTGAATCATTTAATTTAACTCCTCTTTCTTTGAGATACAAACAGGTGGTCTCAACTTTCTTCCAAATGGGTATTTCTAAAAGTAACATTTAAGAAAATACGGATACCGTAACATTTATTTCCTTCCACATAATAAGGTTTTGTGAAAACTTATAATTAGACAACATCGATTGCAATATTTTATCTTTTTCTCTCGTAAGACATTTTTTACACTGATTGTAAGAAAACATTCGTCGGACCTTTCCTTAATGATGGTTAGCGTCTCTTCCAATATTGAATAAAGTTCGGTGTAGCATTTCTTGTTACCTTATATTTTTTTAATTCCTTTTTCAAAACCATGCGATTGACTATGAATAAACCGTAGATGCGCTTCACTCAAGAGATTATTGAAGAATATCAATAAGGATTTGGGAGTTCTTTCCTTAGAAAGAAAAAAACTTCTTATTCCCTCAAAAATTTTTAGTATCCTTTCTACCCCAGGAAGCAATGAGAGCCAACGTGTGTGTGCCTGAATGGGACAATACACTTTGATATTGGACTCCCACGACATCGCAAAATTCTTTTAGTCTTTCATTCCTAACAGTATAAATTGAAAAATATGTAAATATTTTAACGACTACAGCCTCAATATCACAAGAGAGTTTATCTGTGGCTGTTTGTATAGTATTGTGCATGATATGCACTGGGCAACCGATACTTTCTATTTTCCGCTTCCTTTTTTATCTGATTTTGTTTTTTTATGTTTTACATGTTAAATGGTTTGATTTTCATATGTATTAATTTTTTTAAAACGTGTTGAACTTTTTGGAGCAACAGCTCCTGGTAACTTTTAGGCGAGCTTACTACAATTTCTAATTTACTTATTTTGCAGCATATTGCGCAAGATGTTTTCTAGACCAAATTGGTCATTCTGTATTGTAATAACTACCTTGTTTGATATATATATATATACATAAGGAATCATAAACGTTCTGATGCACTACCATTTTTCGGGTCACAAAACAAAATTTAACAATTATATCAATGTGGGATATTCTTCAGTTTTATGCTAGTCACATGTTTAGGCATGCAGTACATATCACTTGGTATACAGTGACAAAGTAATTGTCCCATGTTCATTCTGTCTCCTTTTCGTTCCATAGCAGTCATGCATATAAGCTCAGCCCATACCTCAATGTCCCTAAAACTATAAGCATCATATTTACAACAAGTACTTAATTGAAATATATTCGCAGGCCACGTAAAAATGATTCTGAATGATCAGTTTGAGACTACTGTCTAAAGATATTCTTTGGAGGGATATTTTATTAAGTAATGCATAAAAGTTGATTCATTTTTACCACAGAAATCTTAAATACTCATTTTATGGATTTATTAGTAAAATAAATTGTGTATCGATTTTAATTTTATAACTGTGCAGATATTTCATTGATCTAAGAACAAATGTTTTTTTATTAGGGTGTAATAATAAATGCTGATCCACCTGATGCCTGTAGTAACATAACATCGCCTCCAAATTTAAATAATTCCCTAAACTGGTTTGTGTTAATTGCTGGAAGTTCATGTGATTATGAAACCAAGGTAAGCCCAATTGTTTTTTCTAAGTCATTTTTGTTAGTATCAATTCCTTCTTTTCTGTTATAGTAAAATTAACATGTAGATTTCAGGTAGTCAATGCACATTTAAAAAAAAAATCTTCATTGTTCAAATAATTTCATTCACTTCTAGGACTTCTTCCATGCGGAAAATGCTTTCAGTGACACTGATTTACATAAATAATTTATTATCAAGCTGCTTTTTCTAACTTTGCATTGGTCATCAGGAGAGGGGACAAAAACACTCATTAATATTAGGAAATCAAGAATAGTAGAATAATTGAGATCATTACATGTCCAAAGGCAAAAATGTATAGCTGTCGCTTGAAACTTTCATACCCTTGAAAATGAAGCTAAAAAAAAATTAAGGGTAATTCTTTTATTATTTCAGGGAACTGTTACATTAAACTCACTTGAAGTTTCTTCCCCCCCCCTTCCTGAATGCTAAAATGAAATGTTTTGCTCCATTTGGTAAATGTGTTGCTGTCGCTATAAATGGGACTCTAAAGTGACATTTCTTATATTTGACAGTAATTTCAGAGTGATGTAAATGTCAGCCTCGGTTTCAGTATAAAATATCCAAAGATTAAGATGAAACGATGAGGTTACTTGCTTTTAACTGCCAGATGGTAACAGGCAGAGTACCATAGATGATAGGGTGACCGTATTTTCAAAAACACAAAACCAACACACTAAAAAAAACTCATCAGTCTTATTCCCATTTATTTTCACAAAAAAGTACAATTTGAATCAATACAATTAAATTTAAATCACAGAAATATATGCACATGTATTTATATATAATAAGTACATAAATGGTTAGAATTATCATGTTCTAATGCTTTATAATTACTAATTAAAATAAATTATAAATCGTCAATTATAAATTATAAATAATGCTTCTCATATTCATATTTTTAGGTTGACCTGACTTGCTGTAATATTTCTGGTTTGGAAGTAATGTATTCATGAAATTCTAAATTCTTGGCAGTTCAAATCATAACTCGTCAGCACTTGAAGAAGGGACCCTACGGTTGAAATGTCCAATCGATTTCGCTCGGCTGTCCACTGTATGTTCATTAGAGAAAATATCCATTCAATATTAGCGTTATGAGGTGGAATTGAAAACATATACTGACAGATTTTCAAAATTTTGGAATATTCCTCAGCGTACTACATTTAAAAACATCAAACATTCTCACTATATTTAAAGAAATCCACCCATTTTTCGTAACAAAGCATATTCTCCTTCTTTCCGTTCTGCAGATTTTTCAATCATTATTTTCTTTACCTTACTTATTTGATTAAAGAGTAGTGAATCATTTAATTTAACTCTTTTTTTTGAGATACAAACAGGTGGTCTCAACTTTCTTCCAAACGGGTATTTCTAAAAGTAACATCCAAGAAAATAAGGATACACTAAGCATTTGTTTCCTTCCACATAAAAGGTATTCTTACGCTGTTTTGTAAAAGTCGTCAATTTCACTCTTATAATTAGACAACATCGATTGCGATATTTCATCTTTTTTCTCCTCGTTCGACATTTTTTACACTGATTGTAAGAAGACGTTCGTCGGACCTTTCCTTAACGATTGGTTAGCGTCTCTTCCAATATTGAATAAACTTCGATGCAGCATTTCTTGTTACCTTCTATTTTTTTAAATTCCTTTTTTAAAAACATGCGATTGACTATGAATAAACCGTAGATAGCGCTTCACTTCAAGGAGATTATTGAAGAATATCAATAAGGATTTGGGAGTTCTTTCCTTAGAAAAAAAAACTTCTTATTCCCTCAAAAATTTTTAGTATCCTTTCTACCCCAGGAAGCAATGAGAGCCACGTGTGTGTGCCTGAATGGGACAATACACTTTGATATTGGACTCCCACGACATCGCAAAATTCTTTTAGTCTTTCATTCCTACAGTATAAATTGAAAAATATGTAAAGTATTTTAACGACTACAGCCTCAATATCACAAGAGAGTTTATCTGTGGCTGTTTGTATAGTATTGTGCATGATATGCACTGGGCAACCGATACTTTCTATATTTTCATTTATTTGTTTCAATTTATAATAAATATTGCAGGTTCTTTTCTTTGAATACCTCCAAAGCTTGTATTAGCATTATCACCGCAGAAAGCTACATATTTACTTATGTCTAATTTAAATTTTTTTAACGTGTCAATGAAAAAAATTGGTGATCTCTGATGTTTCATTTGGCAAAGACGTGACCCTTAACAATTTAAATTGTATTCCTTTATACATGTCAGAATACTGGATGCCAAAAGAAAACATTTTTGTTGATTTATGATTGCTAGCGTCTGTAGTGTGAAACCATAAAAATTTTTTTTTCAATAATGATATTAATATTTTGAAGAGCAATAATTGATTTAATCAATGCAGTCATTTTGATTCGCGCTGACGAAAATTTACTTGCAATTACTGAATCTGAGTATAAAACTTTTATTAACTTATTATTGCAATTTGTACTGCGAAATGTATAATGATGTTTAATTGTAATATATGCAGTAGTCAATTCAGCTGCATTTATTTTATACTCTTCATTGGAACTAGGTTTGCTAAACACTGCTAGTGTTACTCCTAACTATTGTTTATGAAGAACTTGCGGTTGATATGTCGCAAATATGCTTTTTCAACTCCAAGTGGTCCTTAATATCTGCTGGACCGCCATGCCTAATACTTAATAAAGGACAAACATACTGCGCATCCTACTTCCTCTACGTTTCTACCTTTTCTTATGAACTTCCATTCTTTCAAGTAATCTTCTTTATACATACATTTATGGTTCGACATTTCAAGAGATCTAAAATTAAAATAGTAATTAATGAAATTTAATTTTATATTAATTTTCTAACTTATTTAATATACAAACCAATTATCAAATTACAAAATAAGGAACATATAATTTTAATGTGGATTAAACGAACTTGATTTTTAAAAATTAGGTTAAATTGAAAAATTATTTTTAAAAAGTGAAAAATATTACACTTATTATGCTAGGAGTCAAAAAACTAGCGTTTCAGGTCTTGAGCAAACAATGTACTCTCAAAAGATGCAAAGCTTAAACCGAAGCGCTGTTCTCTACAAAAGCGATCAGCAAAGTGAAAAAACACGAAACACAGGTTAATTACTCCCACTACTGCATGGCCAGCACCACAAGGAAAATGTAAACAAGTATGTTAGTGTGCTTAAAGCTTACAACCATTTACATCTGTTTTGTAAAATGAGTTAGCTGCTTGCTTACAAGTAGCAGTATTTTTTCGAATATGATTTTTGTAAAATATGTAAAACCGGGACAATGGACCGTCCCGAAGACATTTTTGGGGTGTTGGAACAAGATGTTTGGTCACCCCTACCTATGAATCTTTGAGCAGCTAGAGAAAAAATTGTTTTAAGCATACTGTATATAACAATTGTATCGAGACTTTGTATTTCCAGACTGTATGAATTCACCTTAGTAATTTGCTGCAGGTGAGATCTTTTAGCCTTGTTCACGGAATATCATGCATTGCATGTGCATGTGTGGGATGTGTTCTGTTTTTATATCTATAATTAATCTGCAGAGATAGTGATTCATGCCTTTGTTTTCAAGGTACCTGGCAGCAAGTAATACTCATAAAAATTCTTAAAGGATTGTAGTTTGCGAAATGGTATTCTAGTGAGATTCTCTGCTATTGTGATTGTCAACATATTTACCCATCCATGGGTTCAAATGGAAAACCTCAACAATTTACACACTGCTGGCTTTCCAAAATGCAGCGCCATGAAGAACAAAATATATTAAATTCATGTTTACTGAACAAATAATGTGAGGTACAAAGATGAGCTTATGAAAATTACAGCATTATTCGACTTGCGGAGCATGAAGAAATGGTTCTTTCAAGTAGCTGCTATGCCCTTGTAATAACTGCTTTGACTGTTAAATATACATTAATTTTTTTCTGCCTCATGAGCAAGCATCATTTAAATTTTGTTAATATTCACTGGAGAAATAAATTAAGAGAATATGCATATTTTATTGAATTGCATGAAAAAAACTGAAGGAAAAACGTTGTGCTTCTAGATAAAAATGCAAATCTTGTACGGCAAATACGTAAGCCTACACGTGTGTGTATGCGGAGACAGCAGAAAAACAAGCTTTAGAAGCACGTGAAGAGTAAGACGAATTGCGTTCACTAGCACACCTCGATGAATTTCTTGGTGTCATCTTGCAGCAGCTGGTTAAATTCACATCGGAACAGTAAAAATGAGTGACCACCAACGTATAGATGATGAAATGAGGTGGCGATTGTGGGGAGGCTAGAGGCAGGTCAATTGCAAGTCCAGATATGCAGAGTTTAATTTAATGCCCAGCATTGTGTGTAACCTATGGAAAGAGTTTCAGGATACTGGATCCATCGAGAGAAAGCCTGGGCAAGGTCGTCCAAGAGCCACTACGGCCAGAGAATATCAGTCCATTTTAGCGAGGAGTAAACAGAGGCTACAGCTTCTCAGCTTTCTCAAGAACTGTATGGAGCCACAGGAACCTATGTAACAAGGATGATAGGTAGTGTATAGGTGCGGCTATTGTTGATTTGGTTTTCAGCAAACCAATGTATGTGGGAAACATTCACCGACTTCCCTCTGTTAGTTCATTTTGCTGTCTGTGACATGGGACAAAGTTGGCTGTTGATATCATTAAAGCTATCAAACCTACAGAATTTCCATACAAAAGTGTAATGCCTTTAGCTTTTACATTGAAGGTAAAACTTGGAACGTTGTCTTAATAATATTTTCTCTTCATGTCATTTACTTTTACCTATAATAAGGGATTCTCATGAACCTTGTTAAAGGAATACTGGCAACAGTCAAAAACTGGATGAAACCGCTTTTAAAAAAAAAGAAAATATGACATGTCAAATCGAAGTGATGGTAGTGTTTCAGATTATGCTTCAAAACTGGAATGAATTGTCAGAATTAGTGATGCAGTTGATGAATTTAGACATTTAAATCAAAAATCTCTTTCCTGCTTGGATATTTCATAAACTAACTAACTCTATGTTAAGAAATTATTTGAAGATGAGTGTAATTATTTAGAAGTGGTCATTGGTGACCTTGCAGTTTGAAAGCACTGCAACTGCAAAATCATCTGAATGCATGTAAAATCAATATTCATAGTTTACTAAAAATAGGACACTCTCGAATATAAGACCCGTCTTATCAGATAGTGTATTAGAGTATTTGACTAAACAAAAGATTTCATTATGGTCTTAACCTGCATACAGTACTGGTTTTTCATATTTAGATATTGACTTGTTTGCTAAACTGAAGAGTACTTAAACGTTCTAGTTATATATTATAACAATTTGTCTAAACTTGGCTTTTCCAAGCTGTGAAAGAACTAAATCAATCAAATGCAATTCTTGGTGGGTATTAACTACTACTGAGATCGTAATGTATTACTAATGTGGGAAACAACCGTTAATCTAATTCGTACTTACATAATTAATTACATAAATACGCTTTTGTAAAAACTGATTAGTCCTTTTGGTGCTGAACACCATATTAATTCAGAATTATTATACAGGAGATACATTTCAGTAACACATTTTAGATTGTCAACTGTTTCTTCTGCTACATTGCCTTATTTTTAGCATGACAACTTACTAAAATTTATATGTCACTGTGCAGGACTTAAAAATCTAGTCCATTTTTTTTTTGTCTGATTAACTGAAAGATTTTCTTTATTGTGATCAAACAAAATTATTGCAAAAGTAGTGCTACATTTTTTTCATATGTTATCTAAGCATCATTTTTAATCATCTGTAGTAGTTTAATTTCAGTTAAACTGTCTGAAGAGATTCTAAAGGTATTAGCTTCCTTGCTTTTTGTATCAGTTCCTCAGTTTATTACATGTTTACTTCTCTTAATAAGATAGCTCTCACAACATTTGTCTTTTTAATTTTATTTACTAAATAAGAACACTATGCTATAGCATATTTTACTACATTGACTCTTTTGGTTCACTATCTATCCTCCGTCACTCTTTCAACCTTTGGTTATCCTTCTTCATCAGTATCTCACATAAGCATTTTATGCTCTTTCTGCTCTATGTATTTAGTACTTAACTGGTTTTAAAATAATGGGTGGGGATACAAAATAAATACCCTTAGTGTTTCATCGCTAGTGTGTATCTTCATTTGGCAATAAATGTTATGGCAACATGGACTAGAATGTTAAGTGTTTTGTTCTTATTGATATAAAGCAGGTATGTGTTTTCTGCTTCAAGATAATGGTTTAAATTTATGCATTCAGGTTGGCATATTAACATTTGTATCTATATATAGTATTTTTAACTTTTATCACCACATGCAAATACATATGAAAATTAGAACTGAAAATAAAAAATCAACATTTTCCAAGTGTATTTAAACTATTCATTTCTTGGGAGCATTACTTTGAATAATGGAATTTTAACAATTTTTTTTTCAAATATGCATTCTATTCAAAAGGAAACAACTGAGAATTAATGTAATCTTTATTCTTTTCATTTTTAGTTGGTTTATTCTGAATTAGCTGGTTATTCAGCAGCTGTAATATACAATGTAATAGGTCAGTGGCATGGAATGTATACATCACGCAGTAGATACCTAGGCAAGTATTCTGAACGTAATTTTACTGTGACTAATTATATTGTCATAAAGTAATATTTGTAGTTGTTATTTGTAGATTCATGTTACAGTAATCACTTGTAGTTCAAATTGTTTTGAATAATGTTAACTGATATAATTTCTCAATTGTACTTCAAAAATTAAATAAAACTAATTCCCATCTGGCTTATTGGCTCACTTATGAAGTCTTAACTTTAAAAGTGAATATTTCTTAAAAATCCCTTTCCTACGCATTATGTTCTATACAGTTTATTACTCTAAAAAATGGTGAGATGGTATCTAATATAACCAATAGTTAATGAGAATGAAATACGAGCACTGACATTTGTTAAACATTTATTGTATTTGGCTTTGTTTATGAAAAACTTTCTTTATGCCCCTGTGATTTAAAACTAAAACATATTTTAGGTAATATTAATTTCAGGAGTATGGAAAACATAAATAACTTTTTGTCAATCATGTAGAAACAAGGATGCATCTAAAGGCTGTGGTACAGCAATTATTGTGCAGGTAGAGAGTAGTTACTATACTGCTGTTTTAAGTACATATTTCTTAAATTAAGCTTTTTCTAAATAATCTGGTCAAATTATTAAATTTGAATGAAAGTAACCTAAAGCCTGATATCTTAAAATATATAAAAAGTATTTGAAACAATTGGATGGGCTTCATTACCTGAATGCGGAGTGACAATATTATAAAGAAAGTGTACTGCTGTTTAAACCCACTGGATTCTGAAAGTGGGGAAGACTGGTTGAGATGGGCTGATTCAGTGCAGTCAGACTTTCTAATAATTTATGTAATCAAAGATAACCAAAGAGTCATTGTGAAGAAATCTTCAGAGAAAAGCATTGGCCCACAAGGGGCTCTCTAGCCACCTATGAATTGATGATGATGAAGAAGAGAGCCTAAACTTAAAAGAGTAAAGCACTTGAACAATGAGTGTTATATTAAGTCTCAAATTATGAAACTGTAGCATATTGTAATCAGTTGATTTATGTTAAGATGGAAGGTCTCTCATAAAAAATTATATGTTCTTCAAATTAATACTTTTCCATTTTTGCTATGCTGTATATGTAAATGTATTGTTTATCTTCATTAAAAGTAAGTGAATTTTTTTTCTTTTGATCTTTTGGTCTGCACTTAAGTCCAGAAAAGCTTTCATTATGTTTTTCATATGTTTTGATTTTGTTTTAACTCGTTCCGTCATTCAGTTTTTATATATGTTAACTTTTCACTTATCACATCGATAGGTTTTACTGTATTTTTTTTCCATTCACATGTTTTCAATGATTGATTTTAACAGTTTTATTTTCTGCATTTTAATTTCGCGTTTAGGCTATTTTTTTCACCCTTCAATGTTATTATTTTTTAAAAATACTGCGTTGAACTATTCCTTGGAGCCACAGCTCCTGGTAACTTTTTGGCGAGCTCACTACAATATTTCTTCTTATTTTCATAATTTTTGCAGCATATTGCACAAAAAAATTTTTAAGACCAAATAGGTCTTACAACACAATACTTATTAGCTTTTCAATTTCAATTTTATCTATCCATATAAATATACACACATCTATCCATATAAATATACCCACAGAGAGAGAGACTAAAAGGCTATTTTCAGGTACGGTTTAAGACATAATTTTCAAATAATGCATTCTACTTCAATGCGTTCTTCTTGCTTTGAATCCATGTGTTTGGAAAGGACAGTGCTGAATAAATGATAAATAAACATAAAAAAAATATTCAATACCGAATTATGCTGTTATTTCTATTATGATACTGATTATTTCTAAAATGTTTCATTATGAAGGAGACATTTTAGACGTAAAGTTCGAAATGTAGACAAAAAATTTAGATAGTAATATGGCACCGTGGAGTGTTTGGCGACATGAGGGCGTATATAAGAGTTCCATAAATTTTAACAGCCATATGGACTGAGTTCATCACCAGAAGGTTTTCTGAAATTTTTAGTGGTTTAGAAGCATTTCAAATATATATAGATGACTTATTAGTTTGGGGGTAAAGATAAAAAAGAACATGATTTAAGATTAAAAAAGTTGTTGGACAGAGCCAGAGAAAAGAATGTTAAATTTAATTTAAATAAATGTAAATTTGGGCTGAATGAAGTGAAATATATGGGACATTTATTTTCTAAAGATGGTTTAAAACCTGATGAAGACAAAATTAAGGGTATTCTAGATATAAAACCACCAAAAAATGTGAAAGAATTAGAAACTTTCCTAGGAATGATTACATATGTTTCTAGATTTATACCTAATGTATCAGAATTGACATCATGTTTAAGAGATTTGTAGAAAAAAAAAAGTTATCTGGTACTGGAATGCAACACATGAAAAAGCATTTAGAAGACTAAAAGATGTCTTAGTAAATAAACCAGTTTTACAGTATTATGATATAAACATGCCAGTAGTTTTATTTGTAGATGCACCTCAAGAAGGACTAGGAGCAGTCTTACTGCAGAATAATTTACCAGTAGCATATGCATCTAAGGCATTAACAGATACACAGAAGAATTATGCTCAAATTGAAAAGGAAACTTTAGCTATTGTATTTGCTTGTGAGAAATTTCACCAGTATATATTTGGAAAATGTATTACAGTGGAAAGTGACCATAAAAGTTAGAATCAGTTTTCAAAAAGCCATTAAATAAATGCCCAGTAAGATTACAAAGAATGCGTATAAGAGTACAGCCATATCAGTTTGAGATAAAATATAAACCAGGAAAAGAACTTTTTATAGCAGGTGCATTATCAAAATCATTCACTGAGAAAGGATCTGATTTCTTTGAAGGAGACATAGAAACTCATGTTGGATTGGTTGTAGAATGTATACCAATGTCTAAAGGCAAAATGAAAGTTTTTCAACTGGAAACAGAAAAAGATGAACTACAAGTTTTAAGAAAATTAATTAAAACTGGATGGAAAATGTATGGTTTCAGAGCTGGCAAAACCATATTTTAACTTCAGAGAACTATCAAAAGCAAATGGATTAATATTTAAAAACTCCTGTGTTGTACCAAGAAGTTTACAAAAATATATGTTAAGTAGAATTCATTATGGTCATTTAGGAGTAGTAAAATGCATGATCAAAGCAAGAAAAATATTATATTGACCAGGAATGTCAAAAGGAATTGAATATTTGGTACTGAATTGTCCAACATGTTTAAGTTTGCAGAAAAGCTGATACTAAAGAACCAATGATATCTAAAGAAATACATAATGGTCCATGGTAAGTATTGGGAGCAGATATCTTTTACTTTCAAGGAAGGGATGTTGTTGCGAAAATGATGACTAAATTTAGATCTAATATTAGTGATGAGACATTAGAAAAACTTTTATTAGCGAAAGCAGGCCTATGTGGCAATTGCTATGAACAAAATTATGAAGTTTCGTAACGAAAGCAAAATTTGCCAATGTTCATAACATTTGTACGAAAACTGATTAAAGTGTCTTTTTTTTTTTTCTTAAACGATGCAAGTAATAAAAATGTTTTTTATGTGTATTTTTGTGTTGCTTGCATTTAAGAATTAGTAACTATTTAAAGTTAATTCATTATTAAAAACTATATTTTTATCATTTAAAAAGTCTTTTTAACATTGTGAAAAATCTCCTGATTTTTGAGTGTCATAGGTTGGCAAGTATGTAGCAGGTACATAATGTGCATATATAAGAATATATGTTGTATGTGTAAATACACACACACACATATATCACACATACATATATACACTCTTTTGCAAAAAAAAATCGAAGCACCATGGAGGAAGCGATTGTTTTTGGTGAAATTGAATATGTGTATAGCTCATACACCTATAATAAAATTATTAAAAAATCAAGGTCGTAGTACCTGTTCATGGCTCACAATGACCCACTGAGTGTTCAAATTAGTAGTTGGTCGAACCGCCTCTGGTGACAGCGCATGCTTGAAGTCGTCGAGGCAAAAATATATTGCTTTAACTATAGCTTATGCTGCCAAGTTGATGAAGGCTGCTGTTATATTGAATTTCATTTTGTGTTTCAATTTTTATTTTAGTTCAGATTTTTCTGTTTAAAACAGTGTAACCTGTTTATGATATAACTCAAGTTAATGCTATTGCGCATTATGAATCATGGAAGTTATTGTTTGACAAAGTGTTCATGTTTGATTAATATTGTTGAGCATGAAGCACATATTTATTCTCTGTTCTAAGACTTTGGTTTGAATTAATGCATTCATAATGTGAAATTTTTTTTTTTTTTTTTTTTTTTTTTTAGTATTAGCCTTCTGAAATATCTGTGTAAAAAATTTTTTAAGATGCATTAGGAAAGGCTTAATTCATAGAAATTTGTAAGCGAACACTTCTTTGACCTTTGATATGTGAAATAATACTAAAAGGTTTGTTGTGTGTTTTGTCAAAATTATTCCAGGCAGACTGAATGATATTCATGTTGCCACTAAATCTCTTCTAACCAAATTCACATTTCTGATTTCAGATTTCACGTATCATCTATAATTTATGCATAAATAAAAGTGGTCTAATGTTCTATTGAAGTTACGAATTCTATCAAATGTGGGTACAGCTAAACTGAAACAGTAGATAATGAGATTGTAAACAAACAAGTAAAAATTCTGAAAGCAGTGTGTAATAATTTTATAAGGATAATTTGTATGTTTATGGGAATCTTAGTGAGATAAAATTAGCAATATAAGAAGTTTTCAAAGAAGAAAATAAATAACAAAATCTCATTGTTGTTGGGTTATAACCTATAACATTACTCGGTTAATGGAGGGCTACATCATGTAGTATAATTCTGAAATAAGATATCAGTTTAAATTGCAACACATTTACATATTTTTAAAATTGTTGCCATTTTATTTTTAATTTATGAAATTTTGGTTTTAATTTAGTTTGGTAATTTATGCTTAAAAGGAGGATAAAAAAGCTACTGATGGTAAAATATTTCTTAGTATAATATAGAAAATATCTTAAATGTTCTGTACTCTGTAGGAACCAATATTTAATTATGGTAGCAAGAACAAACCTATTGAAAAAATGCATGAAATAGTCCCCCCCCCATTCAAGTACATTTAACTGTATGCTATATCAATAGTAAATAATAATTTCATGCAAAGTAAATTTTTTTTATTTTTAAAATTAAAAATTTTGTGTACATATTCTTCCTTTTCGTGGGTTCACATAGACTAGTAATTAATTAAAATTTTGTTTGAAAATATTCCTTTAATTTTTATTTTAATATAAATTTAATTTATTTTAAATTAAATATGGACAACAAATAAATAGCTTAGAGTTCTTACAGATTAAAATTTTCAGATTACTTAATGTGTAGACATAAAATCTTTTCGAATTTTTTGATAAATTCAAACTTTGTAATAAAGTCATAGTTAGGGACTTTGTCAAAGTGACTCCAAAAGCAGATGATGATTTAGAGCCATGTAATTATAAGTTTATTATGCAATAATCTAGAAAAGAAAAACAGGTATTTCAAATTAAATATTGGCATTCAGTTTATAAATATTCAGCATATAATTTAATATAAATAAATTAAAATTTAATTCAGTAGTGAACTCAATAGTAATTTAAATCTGTAGTTCTCTAAAAGTTATTTGCATTCATGTATTTACGTGCAGAAAATCACTGTTTGAAAAAAATCAGTCATATGTGATTGTTTTCTTTTTGATTTCGGAAACAAGAGTCCTGTATAAGTTGTTAGCAGCTTTAAATATTTTTCAATAGCATTGTATGTTGTTTTTAAAAATATTGTTACAGGATTTACAATATCGAGTGGTTTGACTTAAATCCTTCAGTTTTTCCATTGAGATTGTCATCATCATTTTAAACATAAAACATGCATGGGCGTTTTCGGGGTTTTCCCCGTTTGTAGTGTGTATACGAGCCATTTTTTCCTTAGAAAGTCCTCCACGAAGGCATCTCTCCCCTTAGGCATATAGCCCTCGAGGCTTTGCCGTAATTAAATAACCTAACCTAACCTTTCAATATAAATTCTTTAAGTTGCTTCGTTTTATGTGCTAATACTTTGTCTTTAATTCTATAAACAGACATAATTTCTTGTTCAGTTACAAAGTTCCACTGTTCAAGTCCTGTAATTGCTGTGCCGAGAATACTGACTGACTTGTCAATTGAAACTTTTTTCATTTTCACTAACCTCTGTGTCACTTTCTTATGCCTTTATCCATTTTTTACAGCAATTCCACTTTTTGTACTCTGTAGGAACCAATATTTAATTATGGTAGCAAGAACAAACCTATTGAAAAAATGCATGAAATAGTCTCCCCCCCCATTAAAGTACATTTAACTGTGTGTTATATCAATAGTAAATAATAATTTCATGCAAAGTAAATTTTTTTTATTTTTTAAAATTAAAAATTTTGTGTACATATTCTTCCTTTTCGTGTGATTCACATAGACTAGTAATTAATTTAAATTTTCCACTTTGTCCAATTTTCCAATTAATTCCACTTTTTGTTTGATGGTTTTTTGCAACACATATATTATTTTCATTTATGAAATCATCACACCAGTTTGTAAAGAAATCTGGAATTGGAATCCACATTCATTTGTATGCAAGATTCGTTTAGAAGCAATTACAAACACTACGTTTTAAATCACATTCTGTCTGTTTAACATCCTTTCCCACATCAGGCTTGTTTCGCAAAGTGAAAGAGCCAGGTGGATAGTAAACCCAAAAAGAACAATAAACTTTAAAAAGTTGAGTTATGAATAGAATAATGGGGCTTTCATGAGCAGACTTGAAGATGACAAAATTTTTAATGAATATGCCATGACCTTGTAAATTGGACAAACTATGCGTTTTACCTAAAGTTACAGATCAGTCATAGTATGCAGTAAACTTTGTATATATTTAGTTGCATCTTAAAAAATGTGGCACTCTAAACCATGTGATGTTATAATTATTGATTGTATTTTAAAATCAATAATTCATAAAAAAATACATTTAATATGGTAACAAATTATCTTGGCCGAATTTTGAAAAATAAAACATATTTTAGATTTTGAATACTCCACAGAGTGCAGAATTATTGTATGAATTTTGAGAAATAACAACTTATATCTTAGTTTCCTCAGCAAGCTAAAATTGCCATCAAACTTTGTGTGTCAAGCTCTCTTCCTTAAAATTTAAATCTGTCAATCAGTCTGCATAAACAGGTAATGCAAATGGAATTTTTATGCTAGATCTGGCTGTTCCTTTTTGTTAATTTTAAATGCAACTAAGCTGATAAAATTTTATGTGCATTGGCATGTTTCAAATAGATTGCATTTATATTTTACAACTTTACATTTAAAAAAATGTTTACAATTTTTTCCTAGCTTCTAATCCAAATATATCTGCTGTTTCCATTCCATACACAAGTGGTATCAAGATAAAGGAGAGCTATTTGTTTACTGTCAGTAGTAGGTAATTATATCTTGTGTATTTGTACATTATGCATAAATAATCACATTATGAGAAAATAATGTTTAGACCACAATATACAGATCATCCAAAAAAAAGTCGGCGAAATTGAGAGAGTAATGTTATTTTTAAATAAGTTATTGCAATGGATTTTTCAACATTGTTGGCATTTATTTATATTTGTAAAATAAAGACTATGAAAGATAAAATCGTAATTGTAATTTATAAAACTCCCTTAAGTTCCTTTTTAATTTGGTTATTTTTTCTTTGTATCTTAAAAATAGTAATACATTCATAATAAATCTTTCTGAACTGTATCATTTCATAATTGATCCTTGTCATATGATTCTTATATAATGTTAATGATGGATGTACAGTAACTAAAGTGAAACTACGGTCTCATGGAATAATAATGAGAAAGTTGCAAATGAAAACTTCTGCTTTAGCAATATAAATAAAACAGAATCATAACTTTGCATTTTGTTATAATATAGCATCTTTATAATTTTCGCACTCTTCCTATGCTGCTTCAACCCTTGCAACATGTCATCCACTATGCATTTAAACAAACCTTACCTTGCAGTGAACATAGGAGGTAAAAAGAAAAGTACTGTTGCAGTTTAAAAATAGAATCTTGTCTTTTTAGGCCTATAATTTGTATGCACTTATGTACAATAAGTACAACCTTCTACAAATTCTACAGTTCTATATTCTAAGATGCAAACATTTACGTAAACAATTTTATGTGCCAAATAATATGACAGTCGGCAATCAAATTCTATCAACAGTCTTCCATGTTGCCATCATAAGACATTCTGAGGAAACAAGAAATGTTGCCATAATCTTTGGCTCCATTGGAGCACTGAAAATGCCACTATAAACTTAAAATATTCCATATCTTTACTCACCCTCCAATGTACACTTTGCTCATCAGTGGTTTCAGATGTTAACTCAATATTACACAGCAATATTGTGAATATTTTGACAAAGTTGTTATAATTTACTTCAATGATAATCCACATTATATCAGTCAGTTATTTGGTTTGATAACAGTGACAAATGTACTATTCTAAAATGCATTAGATATCATGAAACATGTGAAATTATTCAATATTAAAATTGAAAACTGCAAAAAGAAATAAAAATAAGGAGTGTAATGCATTATTAAAATTAAAGATTACTTAACAAACACTAATGAAAAAATATTAAGTTACTCTCAAATTAATACTTAATAATACTTATATATAGTTCAAAAAATTAACCAAGTTTCCATGCACATTATGAACAGTATTTAAAACTTCTCAAATACATTATTTGGAAAGCAAAAACAAACTGCACCACAATTTGAATTGCAAAGTTAAATCAAATAAAATATCCGTTCTGACCTCTATGTTATGCTAAAGTTGTATTGGTATTTTGATTATAGACTACTGAGTTTTTATACAGCAGGATAGTTTAAGACCATCTTTGCCAAAAAAAAAGTTTTGATAATTCTACAAAGTTCCAAAAGTTTTACGATATCTAATCATTTTGTGTAGTCTCAATGTCACCAATTTAAAATTTGTTAGATTTGTAAAGGGAGTAAAATAAATTTGTGGATTTCAGATTTAACAAATATTTGTTTTTCCACCTTTTCCGCAAATGGTCTAAAAATCTCTCAGAAATTGAATCTTTTCAATAATGTTTCTCTGGTACTTTTAGGGGGCCTCTTCTGATAATTTAATTGGAGGTAAGATCAGAAGTTTGTTTCTTAAGATAAAATCACCGAGGGTCATTAGATATGGTTCCTTAGGATCTGCATGCACAATAGTGATGGGTCTTGAATTCAGAACAGCTGTGATTTTCACAAGCAATATCTCTAATTCTTAGGAAACTTTTAAGATTCGAAAACTTCAAGAAATTAAGAAGGTAATAAATGTGATTTTATAGATCTATACAATCACATTTAGTATTTTTTAAATTATTATTGAATAGTAATAGTATAAATTTAGTATATATCGTCAGTTATTAATAAAAATCTTATATTAAATTTTTTAAATATCTATATTAAATTCCTCAAAGTACATGTACCTAATCTTTTTCTATAGGATTTTAATTTTGATGTTGTCCTACACAAGAAACGGGGAATAAAAAGACCACTTGCACAACTGGTTACCCTCTTCCCAATGAAACTAACTGCTTAAGAAATGCTTTACTTTCCCTCAAATTGCTATAGGATTTTTGTCAACTTTCAGAGACAACATTTAACAAAGTACTGGTTTATTTAGATAAGATTTAACAGGTAGAGCCTGGAAAAGGGTGAGGTACCTCAGGTGAACAGGTAGGAAGGTGCAAAATTAGCTGCAAAATTTTAGAAATGGATTAAAAAATTAATTATGATAGTCAATTTTCAGTTTTGAAATGTACCTAGAGGTACTGTTTCAAAATAATAAATTTAAATCAGTAAAAGGGCACTATATTCTTGAGCAGTTGAGCAACATGTATGCCTTTTTTTCATCAGTTAAAAAAAGAAATCAATAACTTAATTATTTATTAATGATTTAATATTTAAAATGGAACAAAAAATCATTATCACATATTTATATAAGGCATCAACTGCTAAATCATTATAATATCTTGAACTTATTTAAATCTCTTCTATTAAATCAGTGTAAAATTAAATCTGTCTTCATGTAATTTAATACTGCAAGAAAAACCAAAGGTAAGTAAAGACTTGCAATTAAAACTTTAAATATTCACTTAGCTTCACATATTAGAGGGATTAATCTAATATTGAATTCCAATGAATGGATTGGCTGCATGGATTTTTCATTGTTTTTTCCATGTGAAGCTTAAATACAACCCTGTTTCCCTTAGAGTGTCTTCCATAAAGGCATCTCTCTTGTTTGGAAATAGGCATCATATGTTTGCCATACTGGAACAAATGTAATAGGAAGATTATCCTTTTCCTTCACAGAAAATGCGAAAAGTATTCTAAAGAAATGGGAAAACTTAGCTTTAATAATAAATATATCAATAGACTATAAACAGTAAACTAGTACCGGAGTTCTTGGTCAAGTACACCTGAAAGTATCTAAAAATCATCTATCAATCACATAGCTCGAGTCAGTCTTAACAGTAACAGAGTATAAACAGAAGATGAAAAGAAAGTATAAGAAAATCAGATTATCCAAAGTCAATTGATAAACTAATTTTTGAAAAAAAATATTTTTTCCTTGTAGAAATGAAAGGAATAATAGGTATTTTAATCTTGCAACTATATCAAAGATTTCCAATTTCCAGTTTTGAAATAGTGAATGAATTTACACTAGTTCATGTCATTGAATTTCGATATTTTAAAGGTTAAATTAGGTTAAGTTGAGTCTGGCAAAGCATACAAAAACTATCTGCCTGGGGGAAGATATGTTGAAGTATTTTAAAAAAGACCAGCTTTTTATTTAGCATTTAAATATCCAAATGGTATAAATGCTTCAGCTGTTCCATCAGAAATATATCATTTCAGTAATTCTTCTTGCTAAAGCAAAATCAGATTTTTTAAATATAATTCGGAAATACAGTTTAGTTCAAGGATATATAAATTTTAAAAAATGTGTTAAAAATAATTTTAACGTTCACAATTGCTTTCATTAAGGTGAAGAAAGCTTTAAAAAAACCAAAAGTAATGAAAAAAATTGCAAAATCATCTTTTTCTTGGGGGGGGGACCCCAAAAGAACTTTTAAATGTCCCTTATTTTGAAAAAGACATCTTATTATTAAATACTGAAGACTGCATTGTGGATTCCTCGCATCCTCGTAAAATGGCGGCAGCTAGAGCATCAGCTTTTGAACTCATATTGTCATCAATGTGAACAAGAGTATCTCAAAGCCCAATTTAGAATTTGTTTTCTTTTCTTTTTTTTTTTTTTTAATGATATGATAATTTGAGTTAGAGGCAAGCCATTTAAGAGTAGTGAGTTGCCACTTTGCAAAGCATAAAGTACTTACATTTCTGGTTTTATCAGAAAAGTCAGCAAACTAAAAGAAATGTTTTGCCTCTTGGCAAAGCAAATGATATTTCTCTTTCAAATTTAATTAACAAACTCAATGCTTTAAAAGAAATGCAGAAGTAAAATATTTTTGCATGCATACGTAATAGATTGAATGCACACAGAACCAATGATAACTTGAGGTAAAATAAAATTTATTTTAGCAAAAGGAACACTTCACTATTCTGGAAATTTCCACAAAAATACTCTTCACGGTATCACAGTACGATCAGTGATTGCACTTCGAACTAGTAAGAACGTTACATAAATCTTCATGATTTCTTTCACTAATGTCCCAAACATTAGATCTTGTAATTCCTCTGTATCTTCTATATAAAAGCCACATATTGGAGGGGGGAAAACAGTTTTAAACTGATCTTAAGAGATTATGCCCTCTGTATTGACTATAATGGTACTTTTCCATTTCGCCGGCGCTAATCTCGCCAAGCAGACTATTGGCGACAACATACAATATACACAAATAAAAAATGTTGACGAGTGTTAGTTCTAAGAATTTTTGAATTTGAAGGCATAAACATTTTAATATCGATAAAAAATTTGTAAAAAGCGAATAAATAAAGACAATAAATATGTAAAAAGGCATTAATTTAAGAATTTACTATGCTTTCATGGTTCAACATCCTGATTCACCAGTTCATATCACTTGACCCCCAGTGATCTCATCTCACGTAAATTACGTTACAAAAATGTAATTCTCTCAGTAATTATCTATCTACAATAATTTCAAGTTAAATCTTCATTTGGAACATAAGTTTAAATGCAAGAATTATTTCAATTCGTACGAATAGCTTACTCAGAAATTATGTAAAACCACAGTGCTTTACTTCGCTAGTGCATTCTCATTAGAATTGATGAATTTAACCCTTGACTTTACCTTTTCTATATTTTTGCCTTTGGGTGAGTGGTGTGATTGCATCCTAATTGTCTTAATTACTGCGAATGGCCTCAGGGCATAAA